CCTCAGGGAAGTCAGCTGCCAGAAGTGGTATATATCGTTTTAGACCTTCCTCATTCAATGACTGACTGGGAATTCTGCTTCTTGCTCCAAAAGACGGAAATGGCATCTTTTGTTTGCTTGACCCTGAAAGGCAAAGGAAGTTGGAGACTTTATTTATGCAACCCCAAGACATGGGAATTTACAGAACATTGTCACTTCCCAAAGAGCTTTTATTTTTATTTTCCTTCTCAGCCTGTGTGGGTTCTGTTTGCCTTGTGGATTTTTCACAGACAGTTTGCTACCAGCCTTGGACATCTGTGAGTGGCTTTTGCACGTGGCTGTCAGTTGAAAGAACGTTCTTTGTAGCTGCATGCAAATAATCATGCTGCTTGATGGCAGAAATCCCTCCAGTTTTGATCAAAAAGCCTTACCACTGGATTTGTTATTGACCATTTTAATTAGAACGTGTATTATTTCAGAGCACTTTTGAAGTCTGTTACATCAGTATGATGATGGATGCTAGGAAGGAAGGCTGAGGGAAGTGGCAGCAATCAGAAGCTGGCCAACAAAACAGAGCACACGGACTTTGCAAAACTCGCCATCCCGTTCACAATAAACTTCTGCCTTTAGAGATTATCTTGCTGTTGTGTTTCATGAAAAAACACCCCTTAAGAGAATAGGGTTCCTTAAGAACGAGGAACATGCAAGTTATAGAGAGTCAGGAACACGAACAACTATCTCAAAGGGAGACTGAATACAAGTCCCATTGTGTGACATTAGAGGAAGGACCTATCCATAATATTTGTACAAAATTCAAAACTCTTTCTGTAATGGCTGCCAATTCCCAGAAAATGAGCCTCAGTCCTCACCAGTGGCTTTCCCATCAGGTCTCTCACTTTTGTTTGGCTGAGAGCACAGACACCAACCCTCAATTCAGAGAGAGCAAATGATGGAAGGGCTTTCACGTATGGGGAACTGTTTTGCACAGGGATCCTAAGAAGAAAAAAGGCCTTTTTGGTCTTTGTGCTGTCGCTAAGACCACCAGTACTCATAGTGAGTACACACCTGCACAGATGTTTACAGCTGCTCCCACCAAGAGAAAGTGCAAGCTGTGAGAGTATCTAACCTAATCCTAGGGAGAAATGCATTACTGAAAGTGGCTTCTTGGGCTAAACGTTGAATGCTATCTCCTACACTGAATGACTGTACATATGTTCTCACTTCTGTGTGCTGCAAGGAGAGGACTACTGGTGGTGTATGCTGTGCTGCAGAGCTGCAGGCATCCTGCAGAGACAAAAGGCTTGTGCTTGGGGTAGGAAGAGTGGCTTAGCTATGCTGTACTCTATAGATTATTTTGATCCAAAGATCAATGTTATAACCCACTCCATTTCTTACAGCAGTTAAGTAAATACAAGGCTAATGGCAGATGTTTTCACTTAAACTTCAAGAAAGGCACTGCCTATATGTCAATTTGGAATTGGTGTAATGAGCCAACAAGACTCTGAATTACAATAAAAGCAAATTTAGGAATGAAATCTACTGGAGACTTAACTGGTCTCAAGTGCATAGTTAGATTTCTAAAATAATAGCTTCAATCCAGCATAACAAACATGACTTGCTTAAAAACAAAAGCTGGAGTTTAACTGTAAATTGCAGTTGGCTTTCATTCCCATGAGAAACTGCAAGATATTTCTTCTCGGAATAACTTCTCAATAAAGCCACACCAATGGTGCCCCCAAAACCATGTACAGTGGGACTAGGACTAACAAGTTCTGCATTTTTCCCTCCAGGCTTATCAACCCTTAGGTCGCATCAGTTTTTCTGTGAGCACTGCTTGTGTCTGCAAATGGTGGGGCTCTGTCATTGGGCAGAGGCAGGTCAAAACATGGGCATGGCTGGCTGCAGGGGCCAAGGGGAGAGCTGTACTGAGGGACAGCAGCCAGCAGGGAAATGGAAGAATGGTAAAGGGCTGTGAGACCATCTGGGGAGGCAGAAATGGAGGAGCTGACAGCAAGCGCTGGCTGTGAATTGGGGGGGTGGCCCAGCAAGCTTGGAAAGGGGCTTAGAACAGGGTGGGGAAGAAGGAATTGCTAAGAGGGTAAGAGGGGAGGGATTAACATGTACCAACATGTAACAAGTTACCATACTTTAAAAAAAAAATGCTTAAACATTTAACTTATGTTAACATATTAAATATACTTAAATTATTAAACATATTTCTGTGCACCTGCACAGAAGCCCTCAGTGGGGACTTTACTGGCTTATCCTCATGCTCGCAGAGGGGCATGGGCAATTCAGGCTGACCAGGAGAAGGAGCACATAAGGAGAAAGTTACAAGGTAACGGCCATTTTTACTCTTTTCCAACATCCAACAACTGAATAGTTTTTATCAAGCTTTTATCTTGAAAATGAGTAATGGACTGTTACTGCTTTGTACAATATTGTTCTCTTAAACTTCCATGGTACTGAATGCGTACATACGCACATACACACACCCGTCTATTACAAAATTTTCTGTTGAGATTTGCCATTAGCTGCAAAGCACTAGGACTGCCACTGGCCGGACTTACCCCAACTCTTCCCTCTAAGAAAAACTCTCCAAACTGTAAACTTGATTCTGCTTTGTACACTGGTGAAAACTGCCAGACCAATCTTGCAGAACCATGTCATTAACCTCCATGCAGAGTCACGTAGGATAGTGACTGAACTCATTTTACTTCCAAATCTTTGTCTGTACCTGTTCTCTGTCCCTGCAGCCCGTGGTGGGAACAGCTCAAGCCAGCTAAAGGCAGAGTCTCTAGCAGAGATCAGAAGGCACTCAAGCAATCAAAGTGTGTTCAGAAAAAAATGACAGTCCTGCTGGGAAAAGACTGTCCAACAGTTCAAAGGGTTCTCGACTGAACTGCAAGCTGTTTCATGTTTGGAAACAGTGTCATGGGTAAACTTCAGTACACAGACAAATAAAGATCCTGCAGAAGAAGGCAAGTGAAGAAGTTCTGAAAAAGTTTCAAAGCAAAGGCCACTTCACTTGCATTCCCTTCATCTCCTCTGCCAGGGCTGTGGCAGCAAAAAAGAAGGGCAAGTAAGTGGCAGCGGAAAAGGTTTCCCTTCTTCCACAGAGATCTGGCTGAGGCACGAGAAAAGGCAGGAGGGGACAAGTTCTTTCACTGAAACTTGTGCCAATTCCTCCCAGGGAGACCCAGCCTCTTCTAGCAGCCAATTCTCTGCAGGTGGACAAAGAATTAAGGTGGGCTTAAAACAACAGACAGCTGGGAGGAAGGCTTTGTTGTCAGTTAACTTCCAGATGCTTGTTCAGGACATGCTCAGTCCCTGCGGAGGCAGAATAGGGTGGAGGAGCAATGTTCTCAAAGGAGAGAAATGAGTTCTTCTCCAGGCAGAACTTTTTAGGGAATCGTCTCCTCCAGGTAATCTACTAATAATCAAATTAAAAATCAACCCAAGTTACCTACTGGCTCTTGTGTATCTTGTAATTTTTTTCCTAACACCTGGCTGAGTGTCACAGAGGAAGCAGTGTTTGATGCCGTTGTTTACTTAATGCTATCCTTCTGTCTCATCTGTTTCAACATCTCTGCCCAAATCCCTGGACATTTTTTTATTTCCTGGATTATGCTGATGTTCTGAAGAAAAATCCCAAAGAACTCAAGTAACTATAATTTCACAATGTTTCATTATTAATAAAGCAGATTTGTCACTGGATTCTGATGTGTATTTTCCAAACTATATTTACTCCAACAACTGAAAAGTTATTTCAAGTAAAACAAGACTCAGTAACGTGTTAAGAAGAAATACTTTCTAATTTAGAAATAGTTTGTTCTCCAAGTGATAAAGTGCCCATTTGCACGTGATAATTCAGCTCAGTCAGAAAAGGATTTTTGTAATGGACATGAAAAGGGAGTTTCAGACAGATAAATGCCAAAAATAATTCTGATACATCTAATAAAAATTCCCCTAAAATAGCTGGTTATAGATTATCACACTCAACTTACTATACTGCATGGAAAAATGTAATTATCAAAATGTTGAAAGCCTGAACTGATTTTTTTTTCTTAGTTTGTGGAAATTTGCATCATCAGATAATGTTTTTGGCATGCTTGAACTTAACAAAAACATTTGGGTTTATGATTCACTTGTACTGTAAACACGTAAGTTTTAAAAAGGCATTATGGTACACAGATATTCAGACAGTAAAGTTTATACTGTTACAGGGTTCATGATGCGTTTGATGACTGTGACAGTGACCCTGTGCCCCAAACATGTCCCAACTTGGCAGTTTCTCACCATATGAATTAACAATATATTTACACAGTTCACGTCCTGTCTCTCATGTGGGACTAAAATGGAGATCAAGAACATTTCTGTTCGCTAATAAGCCTGTGCCCTTAGCGCAAAGCTGTTTTCTCTGCTGTCCTGCAGCACTGTAACATGATTATTATTAATCCTGACCATGCAGTGCTGAGAGATCCCACTCACACTGAGTGTTGTATAACATAGCGGTAAACAGCTGAGGAAGACGACAGAAGGCAGTCAGCATCCTAACAAACCAGTAAGGCCAAGGAATTTGCCCTGCTAAGCAGGCACAGGAGGAACCCAAATGAGAGGACGACGACAGTCTCCACGCTCGATGGGATCTTTGTAGCCACCAAGTCAGAGAAGCTAGATCACATTCAAGTAACCCTTAATCAGCTGTGTATAAATCACCGGGACTGGATGGCAACACCCCTGAGTCCTTGAAGGAGCTAGAATGAGATACTGCAGAACTGCTGTCCAAGTCACGCAGCCTCTCGTTACAGTCTCGGTGACCAGGCACTGATGACTTGCCAGCAGCCCAGCTCCAGCGGGGACCCTGGCAACTACAGCCCAGTAATGACCAGTTTGACTTCTTTTTCAAAGCTATAACAACAGACATTTGTCTTGTCGTCTAAGTTTGGTTTCCACGTACAAGTCAGGCACATCCCTTTGAAATTATTCTCCTATCATTCTCTTTCATGTTTTGGACTTACCATTGATGTTTACAGCTGGCAACACTATAGACATCTTTGGTCTTCTGGTCTTGTTATGTGTGGTGGCTGGCAGTAACAGGTGGTCCTGGAAAATAGGGGAAAAGATGTGTTAAATCTACCCTGGAAGTACAGAGCTGGGAAAATTCCTTTTCATTCCATCTTACAGGCATTCCACATAAAACTATTTACGACAGCTTAGCAAATTCACATTGTTGAGGGAGTCTTCCAAAAGTCACAGCAATTGCTCATGCTGTGTAACCGAGAAGAAATCCCTATCGCATGCAGCAGAATATGAAAAGCCTTGATCATGTGGAAAGAGATGGAAACTACTATTAGGCCCTTGTTCAACAGAGTACTTATGTATATGATTAAAGTAATTTAACTTGACTTCAATGATATTTAAACATGTGGTTAAGGGCTTTGCTGAATTGGAGCCTTTACTTGCAGTGCTGTCTGCTTTATATATAAATGTCATCTTGCTATATCTATGTCAAGCTCTATACCACATGCCTCGTGCAGTAGGACTGTATCACTCAGGGTTGTGATGGGGTGTGAAATATGAGCTCTGTGACAAAACCTACCAGGGAAGTTTGATGGCAAAGCTGTGCTTTAGTAGCTTATCTCAACTGTGAGGTGGCTGGGTGCTGCTGTAAGACAGCAGTGTTCAAACTAACTACCCTGAGTTTTAGCAGTGGAAGCTGCATCTGCAGGAGACGCTCTGGATATGGACCTGACCTGCAAGGAAAAATGCAGCTTTTCATCAGTTTTTTTGCTGTTGGTGAAGTCAAATTGCTTAACTTGCAACCTGGGAAAATATGGTTCCTCCTTTATCAACAGAAGTAACAGAATATAAAGCGCCAGTCCAGGCATCTCCCATACTGTTGTGCTATGCTGATCTCGATGGACCAAAGAAAGACCACTAAGGCCAAGGGAAGCTTCCCATGCCTTTCAAAGCTTAGCTTCCCTGACAGAAGGTTGCTTCACTGCACTGGTGGGCATTGTCAGGGAAGTATATTTGCTCTCTCTTAGTAATTAGGAGCAAAAGACTGTGTTTATATAATTGACAAATTGAGTTTAAATTTCTAACTCAGGCTCTAAGCGAAACAAAAACCTGCCAATCACTAAGTAACTTTTACAGGCCCCAAAGAATTAGTGGAAAGGTTTGTTTTCCCAGACCCTATGTTTGCCCTTCTCGCAATCCCAGCAATGCCAAATTCACTCCCAGTGTCTCTGACAAGAACAAAAGCCAGCAGGTGCCACCATGTCACACACGGGGAGACCAACTCATTAAGCAGTTTTTGCAACTATCCTAAAACCAGATCCAAACATCTGCCTTTCACTTTTCAAGATCCAGACATCTATCTCACACGGTTAAAAAGCGGAAACAAGTTTGATGCTCTCATCTCATTTCATGCTTTCCCATTTGTAAAACTCCCATGATATTTTACAAACCCGGCACTCAGAAACTTTTCAAGCAGCTCTTCGGCTCCCTGTTTAAGGGTAAGAACAGACACACCAATACCCTATGCTTTTGGCCAGGGTTATCTTTTTGACAGACTGAATTAGACTTCCTTCAGGACACAGTTATTAACTTCTTAACGTCAGGGTACCTGTATTTTCCCCATTTTAATATCTAAACACTACATTGTTATGTCTAAGATTCAGGGAACTGAGTTACACACAAAGTTAGGTGTTAGATATATTAAGATATTCTGTAGATACATTGCAGAAATATCACTCTCCTTTTCCCACCAAAAAAATCCCCAAAAACCCAAATGACTGACCATGAGAAGAAAACATTACTTCAATAAATGACTGTAATTAAAAACATCTTGGTACCAAAATTATAAAACCCCTCTGGTATAATTCTCAGACTACATATGTAATTCCCATTTCATTTTTGAACCACTGAGATTAAGACAATACTCAGTAAGACAATGAACTTTACAGAAAAACTGTTCTTGAAATTCAATGTTCCCAAGGGAACAGGCCAAAGATAAGATGTCCATTAAAACCACATTTTTTAACAATGTCCTTGTCATGATTTGGTGACTATTTTTAACATCGCTTAAAAAATGTTTATCCTGTTTTATTTCTTTTTCAATGCTTCTGAGAGTCCACAACATCACTACCTAGCAAAACACAAGTACTGTATAGATGATCACCTGTGAATCATTACAAGCAACTACTATTTTTTGCTAACATATTGGAAGATTGGTACATTAATTGATGCTGGCTTAGTTTTGCTTATAATGGCACCTTTATTTACTGTATATATAAAATGTATTAAGAACTATCACAAAGACTTTACAATCAGAGTACCTCTACAGAAATAAACAGCAGTGTCATGACAAAAATGCCAAATTTCTTGTTAGCAACAACATAAGGAAAATTCCTCAGATACTTCCTGTATCATTACCTTCTTGGCTGCACCACAGGAGGTTCAGGTTGGACATTCAGAAACAGTTTTTCACCCAGAGCGTGGTGCAATCCTGGAACAGGTCAGCAGGGCGCTAGGGGATCTCTGTCCTTGGAGGTTCCAAGACCCAGCTGTGCAAAGCCATGGCTGCCCTTACCTACTGTCGGCAACAGTTCCACTTAAAGGAGAAGGTTGGGCTAGGCACCACCAGAGGTTTTCTCTACCCATTTCGATGATCCTGTGATTCTCTTTTTGCAGTCCACTGGACAGACACTGGCAGTACCAACTTCTCATAAGAGTCCCATGGTAACTACAGAGGCAGTGCAGACACCTCAGACTTGGCCTTTGCAAGCTCTGCATCTCCTCCATCATGGTTAAATTCAAAGACTTGGCTCAGACTGACTCTGCAGTTAACAGATTTCATTTCCATGACTACAACGCAGCCAAACTATACACTAATACTGCTGGGCAGGTTCAGATTCCACCAAACTGATCTGCTGGAAAACAATACTTTATTCTAAACCTTGCATTGAAAATGAGATGTAAAATTCACCTTTCCTAGCTCTGCCTCACCTAGAAGCCATTTTTTTTTAAATACCAGGAGTTAGATTTAATCGCAACTAATTTTAGACTTTTGTGAATGATGTTTCAAGAGCTGCAAAGAAGAAATGAGCAGTTCACCACTATCTGCTCTCCCTCCTCATAATTCTGGCTTAAAACAAAAACACCAAGTCATTTTTTGGTAGATCAGTCAATTGAAGTAGGCAACGCCAGCAGGTATTTCCCTCTACACTAAGATAGCACTGGAGATGACAGGAGCTCCAGAGAAGTCTGCTGCTCTCCAGTGACTATCATGAGAATGAGGTCTAGTTCAGACTGGTCAACCAACATCCGAACACCTGAAGCTGTATTAAATGAATCCCACCCAGTCTTCTTTCCCTGACTCAGAGAAACAAAAGGAGCATTGTTTGCTAGATCACAATTACAGTCACTCAAAATCAAAGGAATATAAGAAGTAAGACAGATATATAAAATGCCAATATTATAATTCAGTCTAACCTAATGAAGTGAACTTATTTTACACAAATCATGGCAGGCCCAACACATCCTGCTCAGCCACACAAAGTCCTGTTAGAGACAGAAACTGATATGATAAAAACTTTGATACCTATTATACATGCACTGTTACTAGCAATTCCTCCAAACGCAACCCGACAAGATCAACTCACTGGATCTGAAACAAGTTGCATAGGGAACCATTTTTGATGAAGCCGCTCTGCTACCCAAGACATTAAAATTAACTCCCCCTTAGCTTCCGGACTCTGAAATATCTCCTAAAACTACACAGTGAAGTAGTATGTTCATGTATCAATTCACCTGCTATTTCTCCGTTTTACTGGAGCCGTTTGAACAGTGTGAGAAGGAAGACCCAGAGTCTTCTGCTCTCACAGCAGATAGTGAGACAATGAAGTAATTTCCATTTGCATTTGCGTATCCAAACACGCTTTGGAGTCGCTGCACAACTCCTCAGTGTTTCAACCCCAGCTTTGGAGAAGACAGACATATAAAGAGCCAGCCAGCTGTAAGTTCAAACTGTTACCAGGAGCTAATGTGCAAGATGCACAGATTGTCTGGAAGTTGGATACTGCCCATCTCTACTACAAAGAGCCATTTTTAAAAATCTGGAATTAGGGAAATTTATCCACTGCCCTAATAATCTTTGTCTTTTATATGCAGGAGTGTCCCTCTGACGATCAGTCCTAACTTGCAAATTTCATAATTAGCCTCATTCTACATTGAAGGCAAAGGTAGCAGCGGGTATGCTGCAGAGTATCATAAATATTTTGCCTACAGTTTAGCTACCTACTACATTCTCGAGCTCAGAAGTCTTCAAATAGTCCACAACTTTTATTTGAAAGCAATACCTAATTATTTATATGTAACATAAATTATTGTATGGATTAGTGATTAGGAAGAAATTAGACATTTAGAAACACTGTTTGAATGCATTTCCAAAATGTAAAATATTTTCTCCTGTCCTATCCTGTTCTGAAGTATGCTGAATCACATCCCAGATGGGTGTGTGATGCTATTGCTCATCCCTAATTTTAAACATTAGACAAAAAAATCTAAAAATAAAATGCTGTTTGTGATATTAACACATGGTATAAAACTGAAAATGAATAAAAGCAAATCTTGCAAGTCAGCATCTGGCCCATGAGCATGAATGTCAACCAGAGGCAGAATAAATCACAACTATTACCCAACAACAGATGGCCTTGGCTAGGGCCAAGATTTGCACTTAGATGAGATGACAATTTAAATAGACGATGCAGACCTGAGACTGCTGGCAGAATGACTGGAAAAATATCAGCCTGGAAAGACAATATTTCAAACGAGACCCTAGCTTCAGCATTCTCATTTTGCTTTTGATCATCTCTACAGTTCAGTGATCTTGAAGCCAGATGAGATGGACAGGTAGATAAATATAGATACTAAAAATCCAGCCACAAATGTACTACCTTAATTTAGTAAGTTGGGATACAGAAACACATTTTTTCCTGGGGATAAAGTCTGAAGCTGTTACTTGTTAAACTTCCGATTAATAATCACATTTATTAAGTCTTTGCCACCACAAAACATTCAGGACACTGTATTATTAGAAT